AAATACATCTAAGAAAAAAAATGATTGCTCAATAATTAAAAGCACTATAAAATATATATTATTTCTTCGCTAATTCTTTCACAAGCTGCTATAGAAATGTGCAAATATGGAGCTTAAAATTGGCTAAATTCAATGAGAATAAGAATAGAAATGGTAACCAACTTTCAGTCAGTGAATGTTTATTACTAAATTTTAGTACGATTAAAATTTTTTTGAGCTTATTGAAAGGCTTAAATTTATCTGCTGTAACATTTTCAGAACAATTCTTAGATATTGGCAATGAAAAGCTTACCATCGATAAAGTTAGATGCATCAAATTATCTATCGATTTTTTTAAATCACTGATTTACAGCATTTTTACAATACAAATAGTAAGAGCAATTTTAGCAAAAAAATATCGAAATTTAATAATGAAATTTTAAGATACAACAGCTTTTGAAATGAAGCAAGATACCTTACAAATCTACAGCAAAGCTGTAAATCTTTCCACCAAATTTTGGAAATTTAAAAAGAACGTCCTGATTTTGCTTTGTAATTCAAAAAATAAGAGATTAATTAAAAACCTCGTAATTATAATATATCAAAACCCTGAATCTCAAAATGTGCAAATTCAATATAAATGAAATCAGTTTTAAATTAAGCTGGCACTTGCAATAACTATTAATTTTACGAATTAATTAATGACTATTAATTTGTGCGAATTTTACTATTAATTATTATGCTATATATATATATATATATATATATATATATATGTTAGGATGGTCCTTTATATGGATGCTTTTGACTTTCCTTGCTCCCAGGTTCTCAAATGATTCTGAATTGATAAAAACAAATCTGTGAAAGTTTTAGCTCTTAATATTAATCTAACATAGTCCGCAATCCAACCAAAGTTTTTTATGGAAATAACATGGGTGATATTCTATTTGTTTTTTAGAATTTTATAAGAGAATCAAAATTTTGAGAATAGGATTGTATTTGCTTACTTTGATCATAAATAAAAAATTACATAAAAAATTTGATATATTTCAAAAAATAAATATTTACTTAGGAAGAAGAACCAAGAAACTTTGGTTGGAGTGCGGACTATCTTCAATTTAAAATTCAGAGCTAAAACTTTCAGCGAATTTTTTTATCAATTTGGAAGCATTTGAGCCTTTGAGAGCAAAAAAATTCGAAAACATCCATATTAAGGACCACTCTATTATATATATATATATATATATATATATATATTATTTGAATAGTCTTGAATTTGATGTTGATATATATGTTTCATTTGAGTTTAAAATTCGGGCGTAACATCAATAAAAATAGTATGAGAGTTTTTTAAAAGTTTATTTATTTAAAATCCATACGTTTCGGCTAGCATCTTAGCCATCATTCAGTATTAAATTAAAATTTTGTATCCTAATATAGCATATGAAACCATTATTAATCCATGGTATGGGCATGTGCACATTGATAAGATATATATTTTTTAACATCAAAAATATTAAAGCACACTAATAACCATGATAACTTAACAAGTTGTCAAAACAATGTATTTACTCTTCGGAGTTTAAGATAGAATATATATATATATATATATATATATATATATATATTATAATATCGCATGATAGATTCCCATCGACAAAATTCCTTATTACATTATATATAAAAAATAATAATATCTCTCCCCGAGCTCGTGAGAAATTTCGACACATGCTATTTCTTTTGCGAACAAATGTTTGATGATAAAATACGTTAGGCGTTAAAGAACATCTCTCTATCGTCAAGGCGAGCAATAAAGTTGTAAAGAAGACGCCCGAAAGCTGTAAAATTTCTTTTATTTTTCACCAAGTAAAAATTTCAAATATAAAATGTTAACTGCGACATGTGTAGATGGACTCCTTTATGTTTCCCGAAGGAGGAAAAACTGGAACGAGTAAAGGATGGATGATTTAAAATTTATGCCACAACTAATGCAAAAAATATGTTTTATTGATTGATTTAAATTTAATTATTTATTGCTCCTCTTAGATGGGTAAAAAAATATCAATACTAAGTTGGTGCTAAGTTTCAGGAGACAATTTTCGAATTAAGAAGAAATGTTATGGTAATGCTACTCACGAGTCTATCTTTGTATGAGTTGATAGTCAGAAACTGACCAAAAGCTATGTATTGCTTACATAGTGTTTTATACATATAACCTAACCTCCAAAACGCACAATCGTCAAATAACAATGTTATCACAGTGCAAGTTTATGATGCCTCTTTAATAACACATAGAAGAAGTTAGGTTTTATGTGCGAAACGCCTGATTGCACAACAAATACATAACTTTTCGACTGTTTGTCACAATAACTCATACGAATATAGACCCCTAACATAGCATTACCATAACATTTCTATTTTATCCGAGAATTAGTGTCTTAATTTTAAGGAGCATAGCGAAAAATTGGATGCATCCATTTTTGATAAAACGTCAATGGTTAAATTTGGCTCACTTAGTCAAATTTGCTTCCACTTCAAACCTTAAGAAAACAATTAGAAAATCGTATTTTCTGGCGAAAACAAACTTTTGTTTCAGAAAGTTTAAAATTGTTTAGTAAGACTACTCTGAATATTAAATGCTTCCCTAAAAATTGAGTACCAAGTTTAACATAGTTTTGAGGATTTTAGGGAGAGGGGTGGTTTGACAAAAAACCACGAAATATCATATGGGGGAGGGAGGGGTATAGTAAGATATCACGTGTATTAATTTTTTACCTGATTTTTTTAAAAATACAAACATTTTCAAAAAAAAAATTGTTTGTGACTAAAAATACATGTGACGTTTGGTGGGGAAGGGGAGGTAATTTTGAATATCATCTCGTATCACCAAGGGCAAGGGGGGTCCAAAAATCCTTTAAAAAATCGATCACGTGATTAATGGGCGCCCCCTATATAGTTACAGCCTAACTATTATTATTAAACTATTTTTACTTGATTTTTTTTTAAATTCAAACATTATCAGCCTAACTATTATTAAACTAATTCTATAACATAGCTTAATAATTTAATTAATAAAATGTGTACATACTCATATTTGATTTTTCAAATCCTTTTATTTCTATTTACCTGTATAAATCCTTTATGTAAATGAAATGCTCTAATTAATTATCCTAAATTGACTATATAAAATAAATAATAGGCGCAGTCTCGTCGTCAGAGCAAACAAAGCTAATTTATTTTACTGACGTCTGCGATATTTCTGCATATTTATTGTATCATTTATAATTAGCCCCAATTATTAAAATAATTTAACAGATGGATGGTTTAAACAATTTATCAATATTTGGATACTAATTATGAACATATGTATGAGAGTGTTTTAATATAAATATTTATAAGGTAGTAATGCAAATATCATCATTTAGATGAGCAAGTCTTTAGCATTGTCAGTGTCTCTCAAACTAATTTGTTATTTTTATTGTTTTTGCATTATTTTAATATTTTATCATTTTACAATACTGGTCAAATGCGCCAAATTTTGATGAAATTTGCCAATACACATTAGCACATTTTTTTAAAGAAGGTTTTCTCAATTTTTAATTCTTAGTTCAACAAAAAATCAATTTTCTTGAAAACATGGAGCAATAGTATCATGATTTTTGACTGTAGTCCCAGAAATGTTCGTTTACGGTTACGAATCCAAAGTTTAACTAAAAAAAATTAACTACAATAACCGAAAAACTGTCATAGTGTCACAAAAGCTCTAGGGTGCACTTGAAAGCTCATAATTTTCAAACTACATGAAATATTTTGTTTAATTGTATTTTTTTAAAAAAAAAGTGTACAAAAATATATTGATGTCTAATAAAATCATTATTGAATTACAAAGTATTGAACTTTAATTAAATCCACTTAATTATTTATGAAAATGCTATGCATAAAATGGTCCTTATCAGAGAAATTGACAAAAACTTTCTTAAGAAAAACTTCGATCCATAAAAGGCAAAAGTAAAGTTTTATTCCCTATTATTTTCTAAATATTTCGAAAGTGCTAAATGTTTTTTTACCTCACTAAAGAACATAATTATCGTCTCAGTTTTTTGTCTAATAAAGCGTGATATGAAATTCTTCTGATATAAGAGAACGCGCAATTAATAAATTCCCTAGGCCCCAATTTCTATATATCATCCCTTAACAATGTGGAACATTACACCGGAGGGTGTGATAGAAAGCTCATAAAATCTAATATAATCTGAAATTAAGATAAAAAAATTATAAAATATTGAATAATTTCTATAAACTTAGGTTAAAAGATATGTGTTAAAAGAGTATTTTATTATGAATTGAATTGATAGATATATAAATCTTACTACGTATAATTTAATATGAATGCAGGAAGTTTTTGTAGAATATTTATTAAGTAATATTTATATTTATATTCTGTAATACATTCATTAGGAAATGCAAAATACAAATTTAAAAAAATATAGAAAATTGCTATAACGTGGAACATTACACTAGGGTGTGTAAAATTAGCTCAAAATATAAGTCTTGGAAACTGTGTCAAATAATTATTAAATCATCTTTTATGAACTTCAAATAAAACTAAAAGTAATAAAATTGAGTATTTTCGATTATAACATGAAAAAAATTGAATTTAAAAATTAAAAATCATTCTCTAGTAGATTATAATAATAGTCATGTTCTGCACTACCCTAATAAATAAATACTATAATAATGAAATATGGACATACATTATTTTTCTATATTATAATAATTATCAAATATAATTATATTAATTATAATAAGTTTTTTTCCAATATAAATTGTAACGAAAAGCATATACTGTTTTTTATATCCTAATCTTTTTTGATATACTATATTTAGTCAGTAGTCAACTAATCAAGTCAACTAATCTTGGGCTAATTATGAATTAAATAAAAATTAGGATAATATAGTATTATGAAATCTTTAAATTGTATTATTTAGTGGTTAATAACATTTATATTTAATATTTTCAGACAAACATCCAAAGCCTATAGACAATATATTCAGCAAACCCATCGCCCACAACGGTTCCCATGTCGATCAAGGACAAAACGAAGGATTAGGACAAATTGCGACGGATCAATCTTCGCCCCAGGGAGGATACAACTTTACTCAAATCATGAACAGGTAATAAAATGATAAGAAATGAGTTATATTGATGATAAAATATAGAACAAAAAAGCTAGACATAATAAATAATGGGTAGTATTGCCTTAAGGCAGGTCCGTAAGCTGAGTTAACACCAAGAAACTCCAAGTAGATTAAAGAAAGAGGTAGTGTGAGAAAATTCCCATTGCCATTTCACACCGCAGTGCCCGAAATGGGTTATTTTCAATTGGAAACATATTTTTGATCTATATTTTACTACTGGCGATGATATCAGGTTGTCCAGGGCGGGGATTTGAACTCACAACCATGTCCACACGAGGCCATGCGCTCACACCTTGGAACACAGTTTTTCCATTTATACTATCATACAATTAGTAAATATATTTTCCGAATTATTTCAGGTGTCAAGATCAAGCCAACAGCACAAGCCCGCAGAATTAAGCGCCCTTTTAATCGGCCTATTAGTTTTCAGTGGCCTCTTAATCGGTCTATTAACCTGGTGGAGTCGCAAGACAAATTACTGTCAATATATGAACAGAAAGCGATCGAAGCAAGGTGTAAGTAAAATATGGCGACATAAACGAGATTTGTACCAGTTTTTAGTAAAATTTTATTAATATGTCTTATTTGTTTGTAGTCTATAAGGACGATGAAAAAAGATGCTTTATCTCCGGAGCGATATACGCCTAACCCGCAGTATAGTGCTTGCCCTACAGCTTTGCCTTTGCTGAACAGGGAGTCATTGGTTTTTTTGCAAGAAATTGGGGAAGGTTGTTTTGGAAAAGTATTTAAAGGTAATTTGTTCTATAGTTTTTTTTTTCGGTAAAGAGTTCTTATGTATCTTTTACATTCACTTGTTGAAATGTAAAGGACGGTTAGGATCCAGCAACTATCCACACTATTTGATATTTCTCTAAATAAAATATATGAAGTATTATACATCGTTAGAAAGGTCTCAAAATTCTTAGTTTTTTTTCCATATATCGTAACTTCGAATTCCGAACTGTGTGGCCTACAGGCGAGTAGCAGTGGTAAAATTCAAGGAAAATTGGAAAATCTCGAGAAAATTATATGAACACACATATCAAATTATATATCATTTTATTCGTAATTTTATTCTGCATCTTTAGTCCAAACAGAGTTCTTATGTATCATTTGCATTAAAATGTTAAAATGCAAAGTACGGTTAAGTTCGAGCAACTATTCACACTATTCGATATTTCTCCAAAGTAAACATATAAAGTATTATACATCATTAGAAAGGTGTCAAAATTCTTAGTTTTTATACCACAACTTTGTTTTTTGAACGGTTTGGCCTACAGACAAGTTGCAACCGTAAAATTCTAGGAAAATTGGAAAATGTCAAGTAATTAATAAAAAAAAAACACACCTAAATATTTTTTCCGATTTATATGTAAAACGACTCATAAGTACTAGAAACATTAGCAAATGCAAACTTTTCCATCTGAAAGATTAAACCAAAATTCCATAAATAATTCAGTTATTTCCATCTCTTTATTATATTTTATCAATATTTCCATTACAAAATCTTATTAAATTTTAGTTTCGCGCCCATAACAGCTATAAAATTTGCTCGTCAGTATATTTATTTATAAAAATAAATTACTTTCAAAAACATAATAAGTAAAACATAAAAAGTTGTATTTTTATTGAAATTCTCTGTCGAAAATAAAAGACAGGAGCATGTTTACAACATGCTCTATGTAAAAGTTTAATTGATGCATCAAACGTAGGAAAATCGTTTCAAAGAAGATTTTATTTTATGGTTTTGTTGCAAAGTTTACGGATTTGTAGAAAACAGAATTTATTTCCAAGAAAATGAACATTAGACTTTATTTATGTACTGGGCCGAACTATCAATAAGATCATTCCATATACAACATATATGGAAAATATTAAATAAATTTGTGAAAGCACTTTTAATAAAACATAACATTTTGCGATATCTTGTATGCACAATTATGGAATTTATAAACAAATAATATTGCTAAAATTTTTATTCAAAGGAATTATTAACTTCTGAGAAAATTTAATTATTTCTTTCTCAGAAATTATGCATTTTCCGAGAAAAATTAATAATTTCTTTCTCAGGAATTACTAATTTTCCTTACAATGGTTTTTTACATCATTGATAACTTTGTAATGAAAAAGTGCTTGAAACTTAATTAAAATTTATGAGATTGGTATGTCTGTATCTTGTGCACTTTTTATTGATATTTAATTCTACGACTTTTATTTTTTGCTCAAGAGCACTTCTGATTTTTTTCTATGTTAAGTGCTCTTAATGGACTTCTTTAAGATCATCCGAGAATTTTATATCCGATATAGTGTATTGTTGGAATTAATTGATACAGTGGAGTTAGGACCTTGTTGTAACAGTTCTAAAATTATATATTTCGAGTTTCATTGATTATAATTTTAAGAATTTCAAAAATTCAAAAATGATAGACCTACACAGTTCTGTTTAGTGCGTCGGCCAGCAGGACAGTTTGTATGACAGAATTATGCAAAACGGTTTACATGACCAATTCAGAAAAAAAAAATTGTTCAAGATTATTTTGAAAACCACCTGTTGCTGTTTACCCCTGGTACTACTTACCCCTGTTACTACTTACCCCAGTTACTACTTACCCCTGTTACAATAAGTCCCTAACATCCCAACCTGGAAACCAAATTATCTAACTTTAATCTCTAACTAACCAGCAATTTAAATATTTTAAGGCAAACCTCATTAAAGTATAATTATAATTCTAATTGGCTTTTTCTCCAGGTGAGTTAAGAAATGAATCCAGGTGTGATACAGTAGCAATTAAAGTTCTAAAGGATACAGCAGGACGAGAAGCCGAGGAAGACTTTTTGCGAGAAGTCGATATAATGAGTGCTTTTAGGCACGATAATATCCTTACATTGATCGGAGTTGTAATGCGAGGTAGGTGATAGAAATAATTAAGAAAAAATTGTTAAATAGAAGGAAAATTAAAAAAAGAGTGCGCGTAAGGTTCACACGCGATTGAAGTAAAATTATTTGCTGCTGTACAAGATGGCATTTAAGTAAAAATAAATACATCATATAACAATTTTAAATAATGTTTATTAGTAATATGGTAACACTCGTGATGCACACATTTATTAGTGTCAACCATTATAAACATTTATATAATGATAAATTATAAATTATATATTTAAAATATCATTAAATATATGTATAATATTTAAAAACAATAATGTAATTAAAGTCATACTTCAAATATGACATGAACGGTTTGTCATTGTAATTAGCATTTAGAAATGAACTTTCATTAGACAAATGAAGGAATGGCTGATAAATAAATTCTACAATATTCGTTCACACAATGGATTATGTTAAACAACGCCTAAACAAATATTGTTTTCGGAACTTCACTCATCATGTAATTGTTTTTGAAGAACTTCATGTAATTAAAATTAACATACATTCATTGACTGCTTGTATTTTTTTACTTTTTTGCGATATAATCTCATTCTCTGAACAGCTGTAATAATTGTCTTGCCTAAAAAATATTTTCCATTTTAATTACTTCAAAGATCTATAGAAACTACGAAAAATATAGAAATAATTTTTAAGGACAGGGTCAAATATTCTTCTGATTCACGTATTTTTCATTAAATCAAGATTCGTACTACGATGTAACTTTAAAATGTTTATTTATCTTTATGCCGATTTCCTGTTGATATCGGAACGCGTACAACGTTGATGCCGGTACGCATACAACGACAGATCTCTATTCACATACACGGCGACTAATCACAATCGACCCGTATAGAAATGATATCATCGAGAGCGAATGACGAATCATTGGCACTCGACTCTTATCTCATCACATCTGCCGTAACGCACTTCCGTTGCATTTGTACGGGTTACATCCTAGTCGCGCCTAAAAAAGTTTTACTTCAAAAAAAGAAATATTTTTAAACAATTTGGCATATCATTATGAATTTAAAAAATGTTGTATACCATTGTTATAAATTGTCTTAGGTTGCATTTGTTTGATTTTCCTGAATTTTATTTTACTGTAACGAATATAATTCTGCATCTGCATTAATATAAGAAAAAAACTCAGAACAGTCAAGTCTTTGTTATTCATCTTTTTTAGTTAATTTAATAACAAAATAATTTAACAAAAAAGATGACAATAGAAAAAAAATGGCTCACCCGAAAATATTTTTAACTAAAATAATGATTGGAGATAAAGTGTACGAAAATTTCCATGTGACGATCCACATCCGTATTATTATGATTATTTCCAAACTAAATGCTTTTTTTAATTAGTATCATTTTAAAAAAGTATTTATGAAAATATTATAACTCTCATACTTTTCACGTTTCAATGTGTTTTTTATGATTATTTTAAAATTCCCAAAGGCATGCCCATGAGGTAAAAGTAGTTGAACTCCAACTCGAACAAGAAAAGTTTAGTTTTAAAGTTTCTCGTTTCAATTTCATATTATTGCCCGAAAGGGATTTTGTTTTCAGTGGGAAATATATTTTGGATTTATATTTTCAAGTGCAAATTGATATATCGCCTACTCCAACAATTAACTCAAATCGATTTGGCTGTAAACCTTCAACAAAAAAATGTTAAAGAAATATACCTATTGCGTATAAAATATCTTTCCATATCTATTAATTAGTCCCTACCTCTAGTTAGTTAGTAAAAAAAGTTGTCCAATGTGTTTTTTCCACTAACTGCAAAATGGAAAAGACAACAGAATTCTAGAATTTTCCTGCATGATAAATAAAATATTATAATTTAAGGAGGCATTTCTGCGGTAATATAGCGTTGTTATGTCAACACTATCTTATCCTTAATTCTTGGTACTAAAAACTGTGATAATGGTATTTTATTTGCTGTGCCATCAGGCCTTTTACATATAAAACCGTATGTTATGAATGCGCATCATAAAGACGCAGTTGTGGTAACATTCTCTTTGGGTTTGTGATATGTGAAATACACCTGATTGTATAGCAAATAGATGAAATTTTCACAGTTTTTAGTAAGAATCAGCTATGTTATTGCAAAATTGATCTCGAAGTCGTTTTTTAGCCCTTTGATCCTATGCCATAGATGAATACATCCATTACTACCTATAAAAATGGATTTCTGGAATGGAAAGTTTTTTTTATCTCTGTTGGATATCTGTTTTTAGTTTCGAGCATTAATTTGCAATAAATGCAAATATGTTTGCTGATTATCAAGGCGCATTGGGGAGCAAATATGATATTATGGAAATGAGTTAGACATGTTTTGTTGAACAACTTCCATGCTAGAACTCTTGCAACTTTTTTGGCATGATTATTATTCACAAACTGTTAAAGCTCATGAAGCTGCTTATAAATTAATGTTAATTACTATAATAACTTTTACTAACTCCTTTTATTT